CAAACGACAGCGTCTGTCGAGATGTTGAAGTACCAAACAGAGAAGAGGAAGAGATTGGAGTTTTCTGGGAGTTGCCGGAAGCCGGCGGCGAAAAGGGAATTGGGGGAAAGAAGAAGGAGATTTTGGGTTGGACGCCATGGGGATTGAGAGATTGAGAAGGCGGAGAAATTGCGGGGATTCGGCGGCGACTGGGAAGCAGCCGGAGATGGAGATGTGAAGAAGAGAAAGAAAAGAGCAGAGAGGGCGAGAAGGAGAGACATTGTTAAGGGTTGAGAAATCAGCGGGTAAAAGGCAGAGAGATTTAGTTGGAGGTTGAAGAAGATAGAAGAAATAGGTATGGTCAACTAAGGATTTGTTAATAATTTTGAAGAAGAATTAGAATCACACAACGCCGCCGGCGGTTTTTGAAGTTGTGATGATGGAATGACTGAAGTAAGGTAATAAAAATGGAGCATGTGGGAAAACACGAGTTTCTCTCTCATCCACCCACAGGCCTTCACGGCAGCTTCGTCGAATAGGCCTTGGCCGCAGCTCCCTCCAGTGACGAGTAGGCTTTCAACCTTGGCCGCAGCGCCGACCTTTATTTATTACTTTAATATTTTATATCATTTTTTATTTTTTTAACCATCTTATTCATATTTTCTTCCGTGTTTAACGAACTCCAGGAAGAAGAAAAAATAACCTCTGCTACATTAATAAAATATCTTTTAATTTTACCTTTTCCTTAAAACTATTCTTAAATTTCGAGGAATTTTAATTATACCGTTAAATTTTAAAAAAAATATTTTTATCATTAATTTAGATTTTAAAAAAGAAGTTTCACGATACATTTAAATTTTCTAAACTTTCATTAATATTTTTCAATTTTTTTAATTTTTAAAAATACCTTAATACTTATTTACTGACCTCTATCATTTTCCCTCTCTTCAACGATGGTTCCCATAAAAAAAACAAAATAGAAAATAAAAAGATTGTATATACAAACTAGTAGAAAAACGATAGCAAAAACGGAAAAATATTGAGATCTTATGCATTATGTGTACTCATGCATAGGGGATACCCCTATTCCATCACGAGGGTATGGATGCGTATACCACTAGGCAGGTGAAGTATCATTATGTTTTACATAATGACGGTTATTAATTCTAATGGGTGTCTAGCATAAGAAGCTACCAAATTAGGCTCGCCTGGGAAAAGGGGCCCAACTGTGTGCGAACTATCTGGTGAGCCTATACTCGCACATACAAGCTGTGTGTAGAGTATATGATACACATCCGAGCTGTCCGTTAAGATAATGTTATAGGAAAAGAAACTGATATGATAGGTCATGTCATTGCATTCGCATGTTCTTGCATTCAATAGTTTGCATTTAACTTCAAACTGTTAAGGATATTTAGTAATAAATTATAGTTTACCATATATATTATATTTGATATTTTATTATAATACAAATATCTAATATTTGCCTTATTATCATAGGTATCTTTCCATTTATTGTTATTTCCATTTATTACTATTTCCATATCCTTGTAATTCATTTGATTATAAATAAGATAACTTTCACACCATTTTAGGTGCGGTGGATTAAACAAACATTCACAATAATGTTATAGGAAAAGAAACTGATATGATAGATCATGTCATTGCATTCGCATGTTCTTGCATTTAACTTCAATAGTGGGGTCACTTACTGAGTATTTCTTTAAATACTAAGTCATGTGCTACCTCTATTTCATGTTAAGGTAAGACATTCATGTACAGCTGACGACGACATCGCAATTCGAAACCATGTCACATGCATAGATTAGTCGTATTTATTTTCTTAGACTTAGGCTGGAATAAGATGTTTTAAATTTAAACGTTTACTTATCTTATTCAGTCTTTTGTTATGTCATTTTTAAATGTGTTTTCGAAACAGTAAGTCTATGAATGTGTTTTAAAATGAAGGTGACGTTTTGTGAAAATTTAAATGGAGTATGTTCACATTCAATGTTCATGATATATATAGAGAGGCGACCTTAAATTAAGTAAAAAATTGTAAGAGGTTACATTTTAGACGTTATTAAAAGTTTAATAATATTTTTAAAATAGAAAATGAACTGTTAAGTGTATTTATATATATATATATATATATATATATATATATATATATATTTAAGTTTATAAATACTTTAGGTATTTTTATTAATTTAACTTAAATAGGTATATTTTATTTTAAAAATAAAGAAAAAGTATCTTTTATTACAAACTCAAAGAATAATAATTTAAATATTCAAAGGATTTAATTGCTGCAAAATTCATACTTAGTATATATATACATATTCATTATTATAATTATTATGTCGTAAATGCGACAAACTTTGAAATTTTCCGTAAAAAAAGACTTTGAAAATTAAAATGAACTCTGATCCATTTTATTAATAAACAATTACAATTTGATGGCGAATTATTGAAATGGGTCATTATTAGATATTGTTTAGTTGAGTTCTTTTTTTCTTTATTTTAAAGCACAACTAGCAATATATATATATATATACACACGCACACAAGGAAACTTGACCTTTCCTACTTAATAAAAACATGTAGTTTACTAATGACTTTACTGTTAAAATTCTTTTTTAATATAATCTGATTTTTACTTAAATATTTCATCCTATAATTTGAAAAAAAAAATTAAAAAAATTAGTAACATAGTAAATCTCACATGGGTTGAGGAGAAGAACGGGGAAGCATTCCAATAACTGTGTGAAAATATCTCACTAGCATGCGTGTTTTAAAAACTTTGGGAGGAGTCTAAAAGAGAGAGACAATATCGGTTAGCGGTAGGTTTGGGCTGTTACATAATCACTCCACATATGAAATCAATAATGTCATGGGAAAATCCAAAGAGAATAATATTTGCCAGCAGCAGTGGGCTTGAGCCGTTACAGAATCACTCCACAAGTAAAATTAGTCATGTCAATCTTGAATCATTTTAAACATACAAATAAACTTAACTTTTGACTAAAAAAAACACAAAAGGTTCTTTTTACTTCATTTTTTAAAATAAGACATAGTAATTTGTTTAAAATAGGTTTTAAATTCCTAATTTGACTGTAAAAATGGAAATCAGTTACAGAATTAAATGAGATATAAATGTTTTGTTTAAATGAGTAAATGTATCGCTTAATTAAACTATAATTAATTTGTTTAATAATGGTTGCCAAAAGTTGGCCATGATTACACATTTAACTTGTGATATCAATTATAAAATTTATTTGAGAACAAAGAATTGGTGCTATTATAATAATAATTGAAAATGATATTGAAATTATTAATTGTATTTCACTTAATATCTGGGCTTTACGTCACTAGGTTTGGGCCTGGGCCTGGGATGTTCATTAGTCAAAGCCCAAAGGTAAATAGCGTTTATATCTCCCGTAAATTTTAGCATTTGGGTTTTTTTTTTTTTTTTTTCTTTTCTTTTCTTTTCTTTTTGATGGACAGCTGCAAAGCATTCATTTGCTTTTGTTGCAGACAAAACGCTTAAAAGTCTTTTGTGTCATAGCCACGCTTTTCCAAAAAAGATGCCCAATAAGATAGCACATCATCTTATGGTGTGGAGTCTCGTTACTATTTCATCGTTAGTTCTTTCGTTCGTTGTACTCATAACTAGGAACGTTTATACAACGGATAGAGGAAGATATACTCAATGTTTAACGATATATATAGTTGAAACAATTGAATGTAAATTAAAAATAAAAATTGAGAGAGAAGGGTATTAGGATCAATCACAACGTGCTGCCCACACTCCTTTTCCTTTACTTTTTTGTCTCAACTCATACAATAATGCTTCATTGCCTTTCTTTCTGCTTTCACTCAAGTTTCGTAACCCTTTTTTCTCCGCCAACCCACATTCTCAAATATTTTGTCATGCATTTATGATATTTTTAAAGTTTATACTTTTATTAAGCATCTAAACTATTTAACTATTATAATTTAGTTTTGTATTTATCATGAGGGTTTGTTATAGAACTCTCAAGATCGAATATGTTTAACTTCCAGCTCGTTACATATCTCCGTCAGCCTCACAATTTTAAACAGTGTATTAAGAAGAGGTTTTCATACCCCTATAAAAAATACTTTGTTTAGCTCGTTGGTATACAGTCTGTTTAGTTTTGATATCATTTGTAATAATCCAAGTCCACCACTAATAAATATTATCTCATTTGATTTATTATGTAGGGAATCTATTAGAGAAAGATTTACCCACTCTTGTTGACGAAAGATCATAAATGAATAAGTAATGCAATAATGTGCATCAAATATATATATATATATATATATAGCACAAAAAGATTCGATTCCAAAAGGGTTAAAGTTTTATCAGCCAAAAAGAACAAACACCAGGTAGCCAATCCACTACCCACTGGGGTCACACTTACACCCTTTCATTATACACAACTTTTTCCCACTCCACTCTCTCCCAATCTTTTTCACCATCAGTTTTTTTTTTTTTTTTTTTTTTAAATAATAATAATATATTTCTTTATTAAAAAAAGAAAAGAAAAGAAAAAGAAATATTTTAAATGATTTTGATGAATTAATTTATTCGAAAAAAGAAAAAGGAAAAAAAGGAAAAAATGTGAAAGGTTTAATTTGGTCACATTTTGGAGTGGGTTTTTGGTCCTGAAAATGGCAGGGCTTGTGTGTAGCACACGCCTTAAGCTTATGATTTAAGGCTTGTGGGTAGCACACGCCCGCCCAGTGGAGCCTCTGCCTAACATTTTCATCTCTTCAATTTGTTACCTAAATGATTCTTATCCAATCGGTTGAGTTTTCATTTTCATTTTTTTACCCAATTGGTAAATATCTCAATCAAATTTGTATGATACTTGTTACCATAAATCTAACCACATACCAAAATTAAATCCTTCTACTTAACAAAATGTGTCATTAACATTAATTTTTGAATTTCAATTTGTTTTGACCAACTTTTCTTCCGATCCAGTCCCATCTCTGCACGCCACACCTTTTCTGAGCTATAAATCTGACCATTTCCTTGCTTTTTCTTCACACCCACTTCCCCATTTCCTTCATCACCATAATGGGGGAAGCTGCTGCCTCCTTAGATCCTGAGAAGCAGAGGCTTCTCATCCAACACCATGAGGAGAAGCACTTCATGTCCAGCGAAGTCGTCCGCGACATTATCATCGGCGTCTCCGATGGCCTCACCGTGCCCTTTGCCCTCGCAGCGGGGCTGTCCGGTGCCAATGTTACCTCCAGCATCATCCTCATTGCCGGCATTGCTGAAGTTGCTGCCGGAGCCATCTCCATGGGACTCGGCGGGTATGCATATCCTCTCCAACTTCTTTCCTACATTTTACTCCTAAAATCCCAAATAACTAAGAAAGGATCGAGTTTTTTCATTTTCAGATACCTTGCAGCTAAAAGTGAGGCTGATCATTACATGAGAGAACTGAAGAGGGAACAAGATGAGGTGATTGAGGTTCCTGACACAGGTAATTGAGTTTGGCTTTACTTTTAGAGAATGATTTCCGAAAAAGGCCTCTTAATTAGTCGACGTGGGATTGCTTATTTAATTATGGATTAATAGTTTATTGTAATTTAATAACTTCAGAGGCAGCTGAAGTAGCAGATATCTTGGCACAGTATGGGGTTGAAGCCCATGAATATGAGCCAGTGGTTGCAGCTCTTAGAAGGAACCCTGAAGCATGGGTTGATTTCATGATGAAGTAAGTAAGGTTTGTTTAAATTCACAAAAAGGGTTGGGTTGAATGATGATGTAAAGTAATTAAGAGTGTTGTTGATGGGCGCAGATTTGAACTGGGTTTGGAAAAGCCAGACCCAAAGAGGGCTGTAATTAGCGCAATGACAATAGCGGCGTCGTACATAATAGGAGGGTTGGTGCCGTTGTCGCCATACATGGTGTTCGAGGCAGCTGAAGATGGTGTGGTTGCCTCTGTGATAGTAACCATAATAGCACTGCTAGTGTTCGGGTTTGCAAAGGGGCATTTCACTGGCAATCGTCCCATAATGAGTGCCTTACAAACAGCGTTTATTGGAGCCATTGCATCCGCCGCTGCTTTCCTTATTGCAAAGGCGTTTCGTGTCTAGTTGTTAAGCCTATTATTCCTAATAAAACTTGGCTGTGGCTGTGTAAATGCTCTCTATTGTTCATAAAACAAGCCAATCAATTGATTTCAAAATTTAAAATATGAGTTACTATTAACAAATATGGTCTAATTTGGTTCATGCTCGTTACTTATTACCGTCAACTTTATGATTCTGAAACGCATTTCTTAGGGAGAGGTTTCCACACACTTAAACACTTTTATAAGGAATGTTTCGTACAATCTCACAAACCATCAACCTCACTGTTTTAAAATATGTCTCCTAATGAGAGGTTTGAATGTTTCGTACGATCTCACAATATACCCCTTTGGGGGCTAGCATCCACTCTAGCACATCATGCAGTGTGTGGCTCTGATACCATTTGTAACAGCTCAAACTCACTAACGCATCTGTTATAGAAATGTTTCCACACTTTTATGAAAAATGTTTTGTTCCCCTCTCAGAATTTACCTCTCTTGGAGGCACAGCGTCTTCGCTAGCACATCACGCAATATCTAGCTCTAATACTATTTATAACAGTCCAAGACCATCATTAACCGATGTTGTCCACTTTAGTCCGTTGTGTATCGCCGTCGACCTCACGATTTTAAAACGTCATCTCTTAGGGAGAGGTTTCCACATTCTGGTAAAAAATGTTTATTTACGTTCTCCAAATTAATATGAGATCTCAAGTGATTTAAGATTAATTTAAAATCTGTTTTGTATGAAACATAACGAAACAAGATGGAGGAGACATAAATCGAACTCGCAACCTACTACCCCTTCTTGTAATTTGCCACACATTGAAAATTTAGAGTTTAAAGGTTAATGATAAATAAATAAATATTAGGAAATAATGTATTCCCAATAATCATTTATATTATAGTATTCAATGACGTTACAAAATCATGAGTTTTATTTTTGTCTCCCTTTCTTAATTTGCTTATATTTTTATTTGTAATTGTATTTTCAATATAGTTAATTAATTAATAAATTAACTAACTAATCTTAGTTTACCAAAATTAATACTTAACCAATTATAATAAATAAATAAAAGTTTGTTTGAATCTATATTTTAATTTATTTTTATAAATAAAATCTTATTAAAATGATTGAAATTAAATATTAAAAAATTATTAATTAATTATTTATAACCGATTAATTATTGTGTAGAGATTATAATATATATTAATATGGTGAGGCCGATTTAAAAGAAACAAAAAAAGTAAAGAGTAAATTTTTGCAATGGCCCAAGTGGCATTGGCCCATTACGAATAGAATATTTTCAATTTTGTAATTTAAAAAAAAAATTGTTATTGAACAAAAACCTAAAATAAACTCGGAAGAAATAGGTTGTAAACAAATTCAATATTGTAACATAGAAAATAAATAAATAAAACTATGATTAATTAACCAAACTTGTATTTGAAATTAGGATTGGAAAAGCGAGAGCCATGAACGTTTGAGATATAAAAACAGATCCCTACGCCCATCTTTCAAAGAGACGTACAAAATGAGTCCTAGCGCACGAAATTTGAATTACGGAAGTGAAGAGTAACCGTGAAAGAAGCAGTAGGTATTGAAAAATTTGATATTAGATAAAAGTCAAAAGAAGAAGTGAAGAATACCCCCAGATATTTGGAAAAATATAATCATAATAATAATATTTAAAACTAACCATTATTTTAGATTTTAAAAATAGAAAAAGGAGGTCCCATAAAAATTTATCCTAAATTAATTATACTCCAAATTTCAAAGCAAAGACTTGTGTGTCTTCCTTTCCTCCTTTCACACATAATGGTAATTTTCCTACGTAGTCCTTTTCACATTCATTGCTCCCTCTTTATTTTTATATAATATCAAATTTATTTATTTTTATTTAGAATAATATATTAAGGACGATTTTTCATCTATTTATAATTAAATAAATTATAACAACCATAGATATATTTGCCTTTACTAAAATATCCTTAACACATATTTATCCACTTACATTAGCAACTAAAATCTCATAAAACTCGTATCAAACATCTATGGTTCTTAATTTTTATAATAATCTTAAAAGTAGAGTATGGTTGGATTAGATTGTAATCTTATTTTCAAGTCAACCCGACTAAAAACATATCAATCTCCAAAATGATATAAATTTTTAGATTTAACCTAAACTCCATTCAATTTTCGTTAATTTAGATTGAGTATCGATAGTTCAGACAGACAAATTAGATTATCGAATCATATGAAAATTCCTTCCACAAATTTGTATGAAAAAGGTAAATGTTAATATTGAGGAATCATTAAAAAAAAAAAAAAAAAAAAAAAAAAAAAAAAAATTGTGGTTGGAGGATTCATTACTAATGATTTTTTAAAAATAAAATATGATCTGTTATATTATAAAATTATAGCCAAAAGTTTGGAAGTTAAAGTGTTGATTTTATTAATTTATATTTTGAGTTTGGTATTAAATAATTTTAACTCCACTTATATAGTCTAAATGTCATAAAAGAATTTATTATAGTTTTAGAATGATATGGATGGGGCCAATCATATGTTTTAGTTCTGTTCATCTATATTATAACAAATGTTGGGAATTTGATACAAATATTTATTTAGAATATTTAACGATGGGTAGGTTCCTTACTCATACTTTGAAATGGGTACTCAAATGTGAAATATGAAGTTGCTGTGTAGTAGCCATTATTGCACACAAACAATGACATCATAACTATAAAGTTTGGAACTTGTCTTCAAACCATTAGAAAAGCTAAAGACTTGAATGAAAAAAGACGACAAAATTATAAAGCTTTTGTGTTTACCAATTCATAGTCTTAGACTTGCTTTTTAATTTAATGTTCATATTATATCTTAATAAATAAAAAAGTTATTATTTATATCAACTACATCTACTTTTCTTTTCGATATCTCACTCATAAGAACTTCAAAGTTAAACATGATTGTCTATGAAAATAGTATTCGCTCATAAAACATTTGAGTGAGTGCAAGACATATTAAAAGAACTCGTGTATAGTCTATGAGAATAGTTTTAGCTCATAAAAACAATTCAAGATAAGAATAACGTGACCATGTTACAGAGAAACGTTAGGGTTATCAAAATCTTGGTCTAAATTTTGAGCATGAGTCGTTGTACATCAATTCATATAAGTTAAAAGACAAAGTAAATATAGCTCAACGTAGTTGACATGTACTCGAATTTTATTGGTTAAATATAAAATACTCAATAAAATTAAAAGATTAATTCATGTATTGGATAATTATCCAATGTAATACAAAATTTTAATTTTGTTGAGTGTAAGCTTATGTCATACGTTTAATAACTAAAATACAATATTATGCACATCAAGCGACTAATAATATATATGAAGAGTAGGTTTTACAATCAACATTTAAATAACGAAGATGTGTTTTGACTTCTTTAATCGACTTATTGAATAAGTCTTTAAAAAGAGCAATTGAGAGCGTTAATCATAAATAAATTAAGATATGTGTTCAAAGAGCTATGTTAAAATTAAAACGTTTTTTAAGACATATAGTAGGAGAATTCAAATCCATGATAGTATTTTCAACATTTATGCTATCGAACTATCCAGATCATACTATCACACACACGAAAGGTCGATTTATGGGTATTTTATGTATACACGACAAAGATTATCTTGTGGGACCTAACGTATTGTCTCTTTGTAATAAAATGTGTTTGCTTCCCCTCTTTCACACAAGCGATATTATTTGCCTTTTTCTACGACTTGAAATTTGACTAACTACAAGTTTCACATTGACCTCTTTCACGTTCACATAGGCCTCTTGTGCCAACTTCATTGGCAAGCTTGGATAATATACTTAATAATGACGTTTGACTACAATGAACTATGTTCAAATAGTTTTAGAGAGTATTGTATCGATCGATACGTAAATTTGATTGTTCGAAGGTGCAACTTTGTTAATTTTGTTAGCGGTATTAATTCAAACTTTTGAACTCGTAAACATAAGCCATAGACATAAAATTCTTATTTAAGTATGATTTTTTACCCAACAAATGTTAAATTTTCTTGATATTTTAATAGAAAAGCTCGATAACTTTCTTTACAATTTAAGTCAAAAGGAAGATTAAACTAAGTGATACCAAGACTCGGGGCGTGCATGACAGATGCCCCCAATCAAACTTTGGGACAACTTTGGTCAAGCCCTTTTTTTTCTAGTTCTCATTTCTACCTTAGCTCATTCTTCTTTTGACCCATAATGAGTGAAAAAATGAATTTTTTTAGTTTAATAATTGCAAGAGCAGAAATTTGACTATCGAACATTAAAATGATAATAATATGGTAATAATATGTTAGCTTGATATAATTATAAAATTTTAAAGAATTTTAAAAAACATATTTACTTAAATACCTCCAGATTTTATTATTATAGCTTTCCTCTTAAATTGATACCAACTTAAATGAATTACTATTTATAAAAAATGGTAAGAAAGCAAAAGAAGTTATTTTATTTTAATATAATATAAAGAATAATAAAATTTGAAGTCGCTTAATTGACTAAGCAAAAAAAAAAAAAAAAAAAAAAAAAAAAAAAAAAAAAAAAAAAAAAAAAAAAAAAAAAAAAAAAGAGAGAGAGAGAGAGAGAGAGAGATGACCTCGTCAACAAAATTTGCATTAAGTGAGAGAATCAGAAACAAAAGAAGATAATCTCCTACCGCCATTAATCTCTGCTTCTCAACACAGAGCAACAGAATGGGAGATGGAATTGTGGACGCCGCTCTCGCCAGCCTCGGTAAAGGCTTTGATCTGACTTCCGATTTCAAGCTCAAGTACTGCAAAGGCCAACACAGGCTCGTCCTGCTCAACCAAGCTCAGAGACGAGATCTAATCGTTCCTGGCTTCGGCGCTGTTAAGGACATCTCAATCGATATCAAATGCGATCGAGGCGATCGGACTCGCTACCAGTCTGATATCCTCAACTTCAATCAGGTGAAGCCCTAAATCGATTTCTTATTCTCTTCTCCTCTGTTTTCGATGTTTCTGAAATTCGATTCATATCGGAATCAATGGCGACTGCGATTCGCAGATGTCGGAACTTTTCAATCGGAAATGTTCGATTCCAGGAAAAATTCCGTCCGGTTCCTTCAATGCGATGTTCGGATTCCAGAGCGGGTGTTGGGCGATGGATGCGGAGAACACCAAATGCTTAGGGCTTGACGGTTACTTCATCAGTCTCTTTAACGCTCACATTGATCGCTATCCGCTCCGCCTCTCCGATGAGGTCCGCGCCGCCGTACCGACCTCTTGGGATCCCCCCGCCATCGCAAGGTACCATTCCAAATTTTATCTCCACTGTTTTATAAAATAATTATTAACTAAATTCAATTATCTATATTCAAATTAATTTCTAATTCGCACGTCTCCCCATGTTTCTTGTTAAGTTGGCGTCTTAATTTTTAATTTAATATATCTCTATATTAAAAATTAATTCATATTTTGCTTAAAATATTATAACTAACGTTTTATTATTTTTTTCCCTGTTAAAAATCGTCATTTTTTTTTCTTTTTATCAAAATCCAACATATATGCATGTCGTGGGACTCCATTATTCCTTTAAAATTTAATGTTCCTAAAATAGAAAGAGAACGAAAATATTTTAATAAATGAAATGAATTAATCCACTCTTACAATAAAAAAAAAAAATAATAATAATTAAACCACTTTTTTTTTTTTTATCGTAATCTATTTATTAAACTTTAAAAAACATATTATAAAAAATATGTAATAATTTTCAAATGTTGGATGAATGTTTTAAAATAAATAAAGTAGTAGGTTTTAAATAGTAATTTTAAGTGTAAGGAGGATTAGTTCTTTATCTTAGTCAACCACTTTGGATTTAATAGTAATGATATTGAAGAAGAAAATGGTTTTAAAGATACACTTGATTTGATTTTAAATAAGGGTTATGTTAGTAAGTAAATAACAAAATGATTGTGGAAAGATACTAAAATCTTAAATTCCATAATTACAAGCACTTGTTTTATTTTATTTTATTTAATCTGTACTTTTTATATCACATAACAAATAGGCGAATATAATATAAAAACTGCTAAATTTAATTATTATTATTATTATTATTTTTTTTTTGTGCGAAAAAACTTAGGAATATAGTGTGTGAAGCAAGTGGGAACACTTGTTAAGCTTACCCGACCTTCATCTATCAAGGACAGCTAGCGGTTGGATTTTTTTTTTTTTTTTTTCTCTCTTTATTTTCCGATCTGTCTTTTAAAATATTTCCAAAATTACAAAAATTACAAAAAAAAAAAAAAAAAGTTTGACTAAATCATTAAATTGGTGTCTAAAATTATAATTTTATTAATATATTCATTAACCCATAAAAAAAAAAAAAAAAGGACGAAGAAATGGTGTATATTTTATTTCATATCAACCAATAATGATTGGTTAGAGTTTGGTGAAGGTGTATAAACACAAATCTGGAGCCTTGATTCTTACAAGAAAGTCAACTATACGAATGGCTGGTATGCTTTTGTTTTTGGTTCACAAATTTCAAGAGTAGAAATTTATTAGCAGCCCCTCCTTTAATGGATTTGATGGTCAAATANCTCAACTGGTAGTGTTCTTGTTCTTATTCATGCAGTTTCCAATTCTTCCTCCAAGTTCTAGAAATCATTTATATATTCTTTTTAATAGTCAGCAAATAATGAACAGAGACCTAGACTTATACTCGGTCTCCAGGAAATTAGCCAAGGAAAAACAACACATACTATACTATTTATTTCTCTTTCTCACATTTTATATGTTTTCAATGATATGATATTGTCCACTTTGAATATATATTACTTTTTTTTTTTTAGTTTTGCTTTAAACTTCTCCAAAAAATTGTATGTCAACAGTGATATGTTCTTTAATAAACTCATAATCATTCTCTAAATTAGCCAACGTGAGAATCCATCCCAACAATCCTCAACATTTATTTCATTAATACATTTCGAAATTTAGTTCATCAATATACGAAACCATACATTGTAGAGTTCGGAGGAAGGTAGAGTTTTGTAAATAGTCTCTATAGTTTGATAAAACCCTCTTTAACCTATTTATGATTTAGAAGTAACTTTAGGGGATAATTTTTCTCAGGTTCATTGAAAAGTATGGAACTCATATAATTGTTGGGCTCAGCATCGGCGGGCACGACGTGGTTCTAGTAAGGCAAGACAAGTCCTCCAATTTGGAACCTTCCGAGCTGAAAAGCCACTTGGAAGAGCTGGGAGATCAGCTTTTCACCGGCGCCTGCACTTTTCCTCCTCCACATTCAAAACCCAAAGACCATCACAAAACCAAGGTACCTACTTCCTTCTCATTCACACAAAGTCCTACACTTTGCAAGAACAAGTTATAAAATTCATATATTATTACTGCAGCTACCACAGGCCTTCAACTTGTTTGATCCAAAGCTCGTGGCTTATGCCAACTTCTCTTCCGTCAGTGCAAAAGACGTAAGTTCAACACAACCACAAAGTCCATACATATCAAAAGCTTCTATATATGTTTTGTGATTTATGAGTCTTTGTTTGTGGATTGTTTTCATGTAGGGAATAATAGTGATAACTTCAAAGAAAGGAGGGAGTCCAACAGCAAGTACCCATTGCGAGTGGCTCCCAACCGTGCTCGAATCGCCCGACGCAATTCATTTTCAGTTCATTCCGATCATCTCCCTTCTTGATCGCATTCCTGGCAAGGGCTTTCTTTCCCATGCCATTAATCTTTATCTTCGATGTACGTATGCAATTTCTTCCCCGTAGCTCTCATCTCGTGTTAATTGGCGTTTCTTTGGATTATCATACGCGTTTTTGTTCGGTTGTAGACAAGCCTCCTATAGCAGATTTGCAGTACTTTTTGGACTTTCAAATGCACAAGATTTGGGCACCCATTCATAATGACCTTCCTTTAGGACCAACTCCCAACATTACCACTTCTCCTTATCTTCAACCTAACTTGATGGGTCCAAAACTTTATGTAAATACTACTCAGGTAAACCATTGCTATCTATATAATGATATCATACTAATATATAGTTCAAATTTGATTTGATTCATTATAATTTACAGGTTACATCAGAGAACAAACCAGTCACGGGGTTGAGATTGTATCTAGAGGGCATCAAATCTAATAGGTAATAAATATTTACTACTCACATTTGACTTTTTTGGTCGGAATTCAATCCTCTGACTTTTGATTGATCATAGGTTATAACTTAAAGCGGTTCGGTTTGCAGGTTGGCAATTCATATCCAACATCTTCAAACTACTCCTATTCTTCTCCAAAACAATATCACTCAACATAACCCTCCCCTCTGGCATTCTTCACTACACGTCGCCGATGATCGCTACGTCGAGCCTCTCAATCGCAACAAATTCTCTTACGTCTCTACAGCTCCGGTCAAGTACGACCCCACCTGGGCCACCGCCACTGCCACCCCGACCCCAGCAGCCTTCATTGTCACCGGAGCCCAACTCCACGTCGTGAAACATCACGACTCAAAGGCTGCTCTCCATCTCGGCCTCCTCTACTCCAAGGTCTCTAATTCCTACGTCGTTCAAACGAATTGGGCACGCCACTCCTCCGACATCTCCCCTAAGTCTGGCATCTTCTCTGCCATCAGCACCTCCCTCTCCGGCTCCGCCTCTGCCCCCAAGAAGAAGCCACCCGACCCCGCTACCGTCATTGTCGATTCGGGCATTTTTCACCATGGCCCGCCGGTGCCGCTTCAGGCTCAGAAGCTAGTGAAATTCGTGGAGTTGTCGGAGATGCGTAAAGGGCCGCAGGACAGTCCGGGGCATTGGGTGGTGATCGGAGCAAGGCTGAACTTGGAAAATGGTAAGATTTGTTTGCATGTTAAGTTCGGTTTGGTGCATGTGGTTTCAGAAACTAGTGGCGATGAGCAATGAAGTTCAAAAGAGAATAGAAGCTGGTGAGTTTAAGCCAGTCTCTTAAATATGTAATTATTAATTTAATGTAATGTAATTAGATTCAAAGCTCCTTTTTAGAAATCTACGTCAACATGGAGAGTAGAACCCTTAATCTATGACTCTGTTGAATCATCACATATATTTGTCAATTTTTTTTTTTTTTAAATGTTTTTCAGTTACAAACATCAGCCGCTTGTTCTTGTTCGTGGTGATTCAGAGAGTGGAGCGCAGTCTTAGACAGCAATATTACCATTGGGATTAAACTCTAATTTTGTTACAAATTAAATGCAAGCTAGTGGAGTGAACGGAGTTAGCTGTCTCTTTTTGTTACCGTTAGAAACAGAGCATTTATGGAAAAAAAAGAAAAAAAAAAAAAATACTCCTCTGTTTCGCAGAGTCGCACTAAGAAGATGATTGTCCTCAGAATTTCCTTAATCAGATTTCAATCCAACGGCATCGGAGTGGTTTAGGATGTGAATCAATTTAGGAAAATTTGAGTCAGCGCCGTTAACAAATACCCTTCACCTCTCGGCTCTCACTGCCGCTCCACTTACTCATCTCTGTTTGCTTGCAGCTCAAGGTTTACGTGCTCTGTTTTCTGCGATCCAGCTATGGGTTTGAGAAGACTTAAAAACGAGATTTCTTTTCTTGGTTTGGACCTAGGAGTTCACATTCCTCGAAGAAAGAGGGGTTCTTCCGGCTCTGCTATTACCAAACATTCAATCTCTATGATGGAGTGCGCTACCATTCTGATTGCATTCTCCAACTCTGTCACTCATGTCCTTCCCTCTGCCTATCTTCCACTTCGAACCACTAACACAAAACCCATCACTGAAAGAAAACCCAGGAAGAAGAGGTGTAAGCAAACCCCCTTTCCGACCACTCCGGACATGCCGGCGGCGATGAGAGATCGAATTGGGGAGATGGGGGCGTACCAAATCCAACTGGCAATTCAAAAACAACTGCAAGATACTGATATGAACAAGAATCACGGGCGACTATCTTTCCCTGCAAAGAAACTCAAAGTGGATTTTGCAACGGAAGAGGAGAGGAGGGTACTAAAGCAACAGGAAAACGGGGGGAAAAAAGGGATGAATGTAATGATAGTGGATCCTCTTCTCCGAGAGAGCAGCATTTGCTTGAAGTTGTGGAAGATCGGGAGCGGGGATTCCTACTGTTTAATGACACAATGGAATTCATTGGTGGAACAGAATGGGTTCAAAAGCGGAGATCACGTCCAGCTTTGGAGCTTCAGAAAGGATGAATTTGAGGCTGAAACTCAAACCATGGTTTCTCGTCTCTGCTTCGCCATGGTTAAGCTTGATGCCACCACTGCTTCTGCTTGAAGCTCTCATTTTGGATACTGATAGGAGTGGAGCTGCTTCTTAATTTCATGTGACCAACCAAGACTGACCAAGATTACCATATTTTTTTTTGTTTTTATAAAGGACGTATAATAATAGTATGATGTTTTTTTGGTGACAACAACTATTGCATTGTACTCGTTGTCGGGCTCTGTTATATTTTGTAAAATTAATGATATTTTTTGCCTTTTTGAAATAAATGTTCATGCTCGTGTTTCCGCATCTCAACAATAATAATAACAATAGAACAACCCCAATATAGCTACGCATCTTCTCTTTTAACTTCTATAAATTAATACCAACCATAAAAATAGAGTGTTTAACATTTAATAATAACATATTTTTTTTTTTTTTTTTTTTGTTTCATATTTATTATTTTAATTAAAACCTGGTCATTCAAAAGATCCATGAAAGATTGCATAATTAAAACTAAAATCATGTAAGAAAACCCATATAGATTCATTGTACAACAGGAAATTACACAATCTGATCGGTTCTATAAGAACTATAACAATTTGTCTCAAACTCCATTGATCATATTATAGAAAATATAATGTAAGAGATACAAATAAGCCACATTTCCAGATCTCAAGCTTGCTTTTACACAACTATTACCATCTAATGAAGCATAAAACTTCAAACAAAAAGCTGTAAATTCTTTTCCTTTAGTACAATATAAACTATAGCTTCATCACCATCATCTTAGAACTCAAGGACACAATCATCTTAGAACTCAAGGACACAGACATCACCATCTCCTTACTATTACTTTAACCATTAGAGAACCTTAATAAAATACTTCATAAAATTATTGACCATTAAAGCTAGTAGAAACTCAGCTTACCAAATTTGTGTATCAGAGATGACACTGGGGAAGACTCCATCTTCTCCCTTTTGATTTGAATAAGCTTATCAGAAACACACCATGGAAAACTCAAAAAATGATCTCTTTGCATGCCTTCATTGTATCGACCCCAGAAGTTTGGGTGATACGTAACATGGTACCAAGCGGATGCTTTTGCATATTCATTGTCTTCGCCCTTGTTGTTGTTGTAGATAGACTTACTTGCCTTCTCGTTGAACCAACCCCTGGCCTCCTTTCTTAGTGACCTCATGGCAAGGCTAATTTGTTCCATGTCATTCCTTTTATCGAAAGACTTTCCCATTCTCAAAATATTTCCACTAACTAATTCAGGTTCTGTCTCTATACCATAATAATCCATTAGGTTACCCAACTTGAAGTCGTACATTCTTTTGTAGTCAAAAGCTTCACTTAAATAATTTTCAAAACCCATAACTTCCATGTCTGGATCGTAGCACTTGACAGCAACTTCCCTAGTGAAGGTTTCAATGTTGTTGATATCTGAAGAAACATCTTTCACTCCTCGAAAAAGCTTCCCGATAACACCATTCGATATATAAGTCCGTTTATTAGGCTTTTCCATGAAGTCTGGATACTCATGGACACGAAGAGAGCGCGGCAAGTTTGCTGGCACACCAGTTTTCGGGAAGTCAACAGCAATTGAAAATAATTTTGCAAGTTCAATGCATTCAGCACTCATCGCCTTCTTAGGCTTCATATCAGCAAAGACAGTGTGAGCATTTGCAATGCCACCAAGACCATCATTCACCATGTAGTTGGCAAAGTATTCCTGCACTTCCTGTATTCAAATGATACCATGTTATTCAAGCTTCACAATACAATCTGTTCGAATCTGTGAATCAAATCAGCAATCTATATTATTAGAAAGAAAAAGATGAAGTGTGTGTTTGCACTAGAAGTAAACAGTTCCTGAAAGCATACCTCAAGTGTCACATCATGATCCAACTGAATGGTTGGTGCAGGCTCGTAGCTCATAGGTTTAATTGGTCTAATACAAGTCAACTCCGGATCCCAACAAACAAAGTATAAGTCACCATCTAAATCACTCCCAGAGCATTCATTTGGGTGAGGCCTAACATCACATATTACAAATATTACTATAACATATATGTAAAGTGCATGAATTTGCCAAACATATGAACATGAATCCGTGAAATGTGATGAATACATAAACAATTCATCCACAATAAGCGTGCTTACCTTTTCCCTTTCTGTGGAAAAACAACACAATCCACCATATGATGCAGAGTTTTCACATCAACGGCATCGAGCACACGCACATCCCCTGGGTGTAAACAGGGATTTTTAGCAACCACCACTTTACCTTTAACAACAAAATTACTTTCGCTTGATCTCCCAGGGACAGAGCAGTGAATAAACACCTGCCCATACTCAAGGGTCCGGGTTTCATCTAGGCAACCCATCATTGTCCTTCCCTTAGGAACAAATATCCTTGATTTGGTCCTCAAATCTAACAATTTATCTGCTCGAAACGTCCGTAGCATCATATTTAGAAAAGGCTCTTCGTGTGGATTGTAAAACAAAAGCATGTCCTTCAGAACACTAGTCATTTCCCCCGGGGACATCAATTCCAACACTTCTAATGCCTTCGATGGATCTCTTAGAATAGAATCAAGTTGATCAACAGCCTTCTTTTGTTGTTTCACAAAAACGTCGTCCCGAATTCCAAGAGTGGACAGAAGGTTGATCACCTGACGGTTGAGAAAACAGGGTTGGTACTTGCTCCATGACAAAACATCAAGTTGAGTGTCAAGTGACATATACTTCAACATACTCTTTCTTAATGACAATTTCTTTTTGGATGTGGGATCAACAGCAACAACGCCCTTGTATCCAGCATATCGGATCTGGAATGCAGATGGTGTATGACTGATCAAACCACATTTTTCAGCAACCATCTCAGCCAATGCTTCGGATATCTTTCCAATCCCATCAGAGAAACAATATTTGATGTTCTTCCGTTCAACTTCTGCATCAGGAATAACTTCAATTTCATTTTCTTCAACACACAAAGTTTTTCTGGACGAGCCAAAAGATTGACCAAGTCGAGCAGCATATTTCGCCACATTTCTTATCTCACGAAAGTCACCCATCCACTCCCTGATATCTGCTGCATTAAGCCCCTCCCTCGAAGCAAACATCCAAAACGAATTTTCACGAAGTTGACTTGCCGAGAAAGCAAGAAACTCAAACTTCTTGCCACCAATGACTATACCATTTCTTAAAACAGATAATATTCGATCATAAACCCTAGTTCTTTCAATCTTTTCAGTAGACGTACGGGGAGACAGATCACTGGAATGAATTTTATCCAACTCCTCATCAACAAAAGACACGCGAAGAAAATTATCTATATCATCAATAAATCGACGTACTACTCTGTTAGAAAGATTCGCCTCCGGACCACGAAAATACACCTTAGCAGGTGTAATTTGAACCCTATGCACATAGACGAGGCTATCATCCAAAGAAATATTAGCTTTCCATGGAAGCTGCATAGAGCTGCAGAATGACAGATATTGCTGCTTGAGCCATTTCTGTGGTTCATAGCAACATTCCTTCAAACTAAACAATTTTTCTAGGGCATACTCAATGTAGTCAGAACGAAATCGACTGGGATCAACCAGGCGGAAGAATTTATCATCCAGCGCTGATCCAGGAAGATAACCATGTTGAACTAGGGCATTGATTTTGAACAAAATTTTATAAGGGATATCAAATGGTTGCGGTGGAGTAACGATAGGAACGAGATTTGAAGTGGAAGAGAAAGCAGAACCTGTGGACAGTTTGAAAGGGCCATAGATTTCTTTGTAGCCGACCAAAGTTTGGAAGAAAGAAGGAAGCTGATCTCCAGGAGAAACTTCCAAGCACAGAGAGAAGGATTGTCCAATACAAGACGATGGAGTGAAATCCACATCTCTGATCCAGCGGAAACCAGTTGATTCCTTGGAATAGAATTGAGAGGAAGAAGACGAAGAAGAAGGACATTTCTTGAAAATCCGTGGAGCACCCTGCAACTGCCAATTATGAACATAACATAAGTCTTATTATTTCTAATATACTTTATTTAATATATTAAAAATGTTGGTAAATAGATTTTTAAGAAATAAAGGCTAAAGTATGCTCATTTTCGGATAGATTTAAATTAAGTCATAAATTTAATATATTATAAATGTTTTTTTTTACATGAAAGAACTTAATCTTTATATAAGTTGTAAATTTAAAAGGAAAAGGTAAGAGACCTGAATGAGAAAAAGATTGGAGGATGAATTGTGAGGGCAACGAAGCTGAACTCCCAAAATGTTCTCAAACCGGAGCTCCATTTTATAGTCATCATCTTCAACCCCATAACTCAAATAAAACCACAGTTTCCTCATTCCATTTCCATATTCCACGCTCCACTCTTCCCCTCTCCAAATCACCCTCATTTCTTCCTTCGAAATCACGCTTCCCAACTGCACCCTCACCTTCTCCATTCTCTCCACCCTCATCTCCCTCTCCACTCCCCTCGCCTTCAGATACCACCTTCCGAACCACAGCCCCTCCTCCGCCTCCGCCTTCTCCACCACGTACTCCGCCGCCACCTTGCTCCTGAATTCCACCCTCGCGAATGTCAACCGGCCTTTCCCGTCCTTGGGTTTCGAAATCCTCACCTTCGATACCGTTCCCTCTCCGGTGTGATTCTCCATAAATTCCTTCACCTCGCCGGCGCTCACCTCTCGCCGGAATCCAAAAACCTCGATCGTCTTCCCATTCGTACCCATTTGTTTTCACAAAGCACTGAAATTGAGATATTGAATAAAGCTGTGGAGGAAAATAGGAAACAAATATATGCAATTTATAGACAATAGAGAGGAGAGGAGACCTACTTTAATCAAGTCTTTCAAGGCCAGTCAAGGTCACCATCTTCTCGCCCAAGTTTAATTTATGCCTTCCTGCATTTATAAATATACGAACCATATTAAGTGTTATTTAAAATAATTAATTAACTGAGTTGTAGTACGTACAAATATTTCACTCCACCATAATCTTTAATAAAAATCCACATATTTATTTTAATGACTCCATCCAATTATATATATATATATATATATATTACATCCCAGAAGGATGTTTCATTTTGTCCCTTTTGACAATGGGCCCATATAGAGAGAAAGGGGGCCCACGCGTTTGCGATGGAAAAATGTTGTACTATGTTGCATTGAATATAATCAACGCATTATATTGGAATATGGTCGGAAACTTACATAAAAGTAGAGTGACGCACTACTTTTTAACTCCTGGGCCCTATTATATAGTTTCTGTGCACATTATTTGGTTTTTATACCATTTTCTTTCTATTAATTTAAACAAAATTTAGTGGGATATAATCAGACATTAATCTTCATTCCTCTTTTAAAAATAAAAATAAAAAAAATTAATGAATTTATTAGATATGAAATTAAATTTTTTTAAAAAGTAAAATTTTAATTTGTATGAGTAGAGTTCATGTCAACGTCAGAATTAGAAAAGGTGGAGAAAGATTTGGAAAATTTCTCGTCTTGGTCTCCTTGCTTTAACGGTTTGTCGCCACGTCAGCAATATTAATAACTGAAACTTTTTTTTTTTTTTTTTTAAATATTTATGAATTATTTTCTTCTTTATATTTCTTTTCCTTTCCTACTTTTCTAGAATGTTCTTTCCTTTTCATATAGCATTTGTTATTGAGTTTTAAATATTATCTGTATTTTGAGTTTTATTTTATTCTCATTTATATATTGTTAAATGCTTCTATTTATTTTTTATACGTCGTTTGAAGTAATTTGACGTTAATAAAAGTATTTTGAATGCCAAACAAATTTGTATATAAATATTTTAATTTTAAATGAGTTTTACAAAATAAAATAAACATTAATATTTTTTGTGCAGGACAACACTTTTATTGTCTCTCATTTTAAAACATAATTTTAGTCGGGTTAGATATAATATTTGAAAAATATATTATTTATAGAATATATCTTAATATTCTTTCTTTTATTTAATTTACAACATATTTTATTTTATTCTCAATATTTAATTAGTTTATATTTTCCTTATTTGTAATGAAAATACACCTTTGATTTCAATTTTTTTCTATTTTTCATTCTAACCCAAATTTAAAAACTTGGAAATGATTTTTTTTCATTATTATTAATTTGAAGAGTAAGAATGAGGACCAAGAAAAGAACCAAACTTAAGCCACAAGTTTCCAAATAAGAAGGTAACTGGAAGCAGAGATGCAGAATTTTGATTCATTTCTCTATATGTCTTTTTAACTTCTAAGTACCAAAAAAGGACATAAAAATGGAAAAGAAAGGGCATCGAGTGGAGGGCAAACATGGAAAAAAACTGTGTCAATTATCATAAAAAGTTTTCCTTTTTTAAAAAATTAACCAAAAATTATTTTTTTAAATAGCAGGACTTTTACATATTTATTAAAAGGTGAAATTAAATACTTAGAAGAACAAATATATGATTAAAAAAACAAAGAACTAAATTTTATGATTGAATGTAGAGAGAAGAATTTATGATGTGGACTAAGTCTTCCGGTCAATCTTTGGCAATGAATCAAAGAGAAGTTTCGGAGTGATGATTAGGAGACACGTCAGTTTCCAAATTCCAACTGTATTGGTATGTGATTCGTGACGACCCACGTGGACCCAGTTATTTAGGGTCCTATCTCAAAAAAACATTAATTCACAACATACGTTAATGAAGGACTACAACGTTGCTGTCACAAAAAAAGACGTATTATCATATATACTTCACTAAAAATATGGCAATCTAGGTCAGACTTGGCTATATCGATCAAAATTACGTGAAAAATAAAGAATCAGCTTCAAGCAGAAGCAGTGGTGGCATCAAGCTTAACCATGGCGAAGCAGAGACGAGAAACCATGGTTTGAGTTTCAGCCTCAAATTCATCCTTTCTGAAGCTCCAAAGCTGGACGTGATCTCCGCTTTTGAACCCATTCTGTTCCACCAATGAATTCCATTGTGTCATTAAACAGTAGGAATCCCCGCTCCCGATCTTCCACAACTTCAAGCAAATGCTGCTCTCTCGGAGAAGAGGATCCACTATCATTACATTCATCCCTTTTTTCCCCCCGTTTTCCTGTTGCTTTAGTACCCTCCTCTCCTCTTCCGTTGCAAAATCCACTTTGAGTTTCTTTGCAGGGAAAGATAGTCGCCCGTGATTCTTGTTCATATCAGTATCTTGCAGTTGTTTTTGAATTGCCAGTTGGATTTGGTACGCCCCCATCTCCCCAATTCGATCTCTCATCGCCGCCGGCATGTCCGGAGTGGTCGGAAAGGGGGTTTGCTTACACCTCTTCTTCCTGGGTTTTCTTTCAGTGATGGGTTTTGTGTTAGTGGTTCGAAGTGGAAGATAGGCAGAGGGAAGGACATGAGTGACAGAGTTGGAGAATGCAATCAGAATGGTAGCGCACTCCATCATAGAGATTGAATGTTTGGTAATAGCAGAGCCGGAAGAACCCCTCTTTCTTCGAGGAATGTGAACTCCTAGGTCCAAACCAAGAAAAGAAATCTCGTTTTTAAGTCTTCTCAAACCCATAGCTGGATCGCAGAAAACAGAGCACGTAAACCTTGAGCTGCAAGCAAACAGAGATGAGTAAGTGGAGCGGCAGTGAGAGCCGAGAGGTGAAGGGTATTTGTTAACGGCGCTGACTCAAATTTTCCTAAATTGATTCACATCCTAAACCACTCCGATGCCGTTGGATTGAAATCTGATTAAGGAAATTCTGAGGACAATCATCTTCTTAGTGCGACTCTGCGAAACAGAGGAGTATTTTTTTTTTTTTTCTTTTTTTTCCATAAATGCTCTGTTTCTAACGGTAACAAAAAGAGACAGCTAACTCCGTTCACTCCACTAGCTTGCATTTAATTTGTAACAAAATTAGATTTTAATCCCAATGGTAATATTGCTGTCTAAGACTGCGCTCCACTCTCTGAATCACCACGAACAAGAACAAGCGGCTGATGTTTGTAACTCAAAAACATTTTAAAAAATATAGCTACTGTAATGCTAATACTAAGAAATACATTTGAAATTAAATAATGTTGACAAATATAAATTAACTTGCGCTTATTAATAAGAATATAATTTTTACATTTATGTTTTAAGCTCCATGTATATGTATATATGTGTAACAAAAGACAGCTTATTTACATTCTCAAATACAAATGGGCCTTTAGATGCACTCTCCGAAAATTAGCCCAATGGGCTTTCTTAATGCAATATCCGAAAGTTAGCCCATTGGGCCTTCTTAATGCACTCTCCAAAAGGTCTAAACCCAAGAACATCAAAAGCACTTAAACCCTAACGCGTAGAACCTTCTAGGCGCATCGAGAACCCGAAATTTGCACGCCCTTTCTTCCAATAGCCACATAAAGGCACCTCTTCTCGTCGCCTTCCTACTCCAAAACCCTAATTCTCCGAGCACAGACGTTGCACGAACAATCAACTCAAAGACGAATGGCGAAGCGATTAATTCCATTCTTCAATCGTGTCCTGATCGAGAAAATTGTTCCTCCTTCCAAAACCACTGCCGGCATTCTTCTCCCTGAGAGCTCCACCAAGGTATTTGCAATGTAGCATTCATTTTATCTGTAGTTTCATTTCAATTTTCCTTGTCCTTACTTGATTTGGTTTATATGTGATTAACCGATGTTTGGTACGACAGCTGAACTCCGGTAAGGTGGTTGCAGTGGGTCCTGGTGCACGGGATAGAAGCGGGAATCTGATTCCGGTCAGTGTGAAAGAAGGTGATACCGTTCTTTTGCCTGAATATGGAGGCACGTCGGTGAAGCTTGGAGAGAAAGAGTATGCTTTTAAACAGTTTTAACTTAGTTTTATTTCTTTGTTAGCAGAAATGGTCGTCTGCGATGTAATTCGTCCTGCACTTTTTATTAGGCTTGTTTTGTTTGCATTTTTAGTTCACTAACGTAAAGTCATGAATAGTGCTTTTATGTCTCTGAGGCACCATCTCCGATTCTAAATGAATTTGAATTATAGTTAAACTAATTAATAAAAAAAAAGTTTAAGAGCTAAATTTGGTTTCTACGGAGTTATGGGATAGAACTTAACTTGTTGTGTTAAAACTAAGTATTTCAAAGTCCAAGAGAGAAAACATAAAGCTGAATCAACTCAAATGTACAGGAAGATTTAGGGCTAAGAGTGAATTTAAAATGATTTGTCGAAAGATTTAAAGCTAGTGATATTAACCTCTTTATGTTTGATTAGATAATCAAGAAGTGTTGTAGAAAACTTTCAGAGCATAAAAACACTTAAAAAGTACTTTCGAGAGAATAACTAAATTGCTGTTTCAGTGTTTCTTCCCGAAACTGAATGTTCCTCGAAATTATGTCAAACCAAGACTAAAAAAAAGGGATTAAAATAGCATTTTTTGAATTCATTTTCATGATTTTAGTTTGAATTCTTTGATTGGGGTTTATCTGCAGGTTCCATTTGTTTAGAGATGAAGACATTTTGGGAACTCTACATGATTGATAGATTCATCTGACTCAATGGTGTGGTCGGATTGCGCTTTTTGCAAGAGGAGCTCATTCTGGTACTCTGAGTTGATTCTCTTCTCTTCCATGTTGTAGCTTCTTATTCACTGCAATAATGAAGGATGCCATCATTTTATGGTTAGTTTTCCATTTGGATAAATCTTAATGGAAGCTCTTTTCAGTTGATAGTTGCTTCTGTTGTGATTCCTTATCTTCATTCAGCATTTGTTTTGTTTTTCTAATGAGTTGGAGGAATAGAGAACTGTTGTATTTGATGGCTAAGGCTATTTTGTAGGAATTTGGGGGCTTTTAAACATACGATTATGGGAAATAAGATAGTTTTGAGTTGCTTCAATTACCATGTTCTTGCTATTCTGTTTCCACTCGTTCTAATCCAATCAGATACATAATTATTATAAGACATATATTAAATAAAAAACAGTCTTGTGCGATCGTATTATGATGTTATGGATGGTTAATCTTGTGTTAAGTCATGTTTGTATCACATGAAAGAGGAGAATGAGCAATTATGGGGTGCAGTTGGACTTTGAATTTCCATGTTTCATAGGTAGACTGGTAAGAGTAGTATACTAAATCTCTTAGGCTCGGTTGAAGGATATAAATAAATTCTTTTAAACAATTTTAGATAATTAAATAGATTAGTATTGATTTATTGTAATCAAATAGTTAATTATAATAATTTTATTAACTATGATAACTGTTATTGAGTTAATCTCAATAAAATAAATTAAGAGGAACTGTTATCAAACCTTTATACAAATAATATTACTTTAAATTTTATTGCATTTGTTAATTTATTTTGTTTATATTATTGTTAGTTATTAAGTTAAATTATTAAAATAGTTTTAACTAATTAAAATTTAATTTAATTTTCATTCATGTTTTTTAATTTATATTAAAAATTAATTATACGTTATATTTCAAAGTATAGTTATTTTATTTCACTCATTACTATTTTTGAGTTATTTATAAACTATTTGAAAATGATTGATAAATAAAAAAAAAATAATAATAAGTAGTGAAAAGGAAATTCTAAAGGATGCAAAAGCAAATAATTGAGAGAAAATAAAATAACTTAAGTTATAAAAAGGATAACAATAATCGTAAATAATCGAAATATATTTTTTTAAAAAATCAAAGAAAGTAAAAGAAGAAATACATGAAAAAAAATCAAGAAAAATAAATAATTATAAAAGAAATGATACAAAATAAGAGAGAGAGAGAGAGAGAGAGAGAAATAAAGGATGGTTAAAAACCATCTATGTATGGGTTTTAAAAAACATAAAAGTCTCACTTTTTTGTCTTAAAAAACCTTTATAGACAAAAGGTTAAAATTCTCTCTTGCTAAAAAAATCTCTTTAGACAAAAAGGTAAAATTCTCTCTTATCAAATACAAATTTGTTAATAATAAGTTATAGATTTTTTTTTAATGGTAAACAATGTTTTATTTATGGAATTCAAATTTGATTAAATTTATTTTTTATTTGAGACATTTAAAAATTTTCGTATTAAAACGGTATATTTTTTAGTAAACAAAAAAAAAATCATGGTAAATGCAGGGATTTCAAATAGAAATAAACATTAAGAAATTAATTTAATGTTAAAACAAGTATAATTTCTTCCTAAAATATTTAATTAGTTATTAAATTTTAATTTAAGATAATGTTTTAAAGGTAAAAAACGTAATAAGTGTAATGCAGAAGGTCGAACATGGCCATGTATTGCGCACTTACACGTGTAGAGCATTTAGTTGGGGTAATGTGGGAAAAAAATGTGAGATTTGCATTTTAAGATCTAAGAACATGTGGACACGTGGGATTGCCCGACAATTATGGTGGCTGCCTCGTGCCTCCAGCTCACCACCTTCCACGTCTTCATTTAATCTAAATCTTCTTGCTTTCTTCTACTGCTTGGGAGGAAAGCAAATCGGGTGGCATACCACTTACCTGCCACCCGCCCATGTGGCACTATATCCTCCCTACACGTGGCCTATAAAGCCACGTGTTTTAAACTTTAGTTTTAATTTAAAATGACAAGAATAAGTCAAATTATCCTACTAAATTATCAACTAAATAAATAAAAAGATCTTAACCGTTTAATACGTTTCTAGACATCCAAACACAAAAACACCTTTAATGAAGTCGCCACGGTGCCCTACGCCCTTCCATTAAGGTACATGTCCGTCCTAAATTCAACGAAAATAAATAAATAAACACTGCAACATTATATTATTTGCAACATTTATTTATATATGTATATATATATATATATATAATCATTTACATGTATTTAATGTTTTTAATGTAATAAAAAATAAATGTTGGATGGTAGGAGGAGATTAAAAAAATAAGATTGAGTTACAAGAATGAAAAGAAAAATCTAAAAAGAAGAAAAAAAGAGAGAAAGAAGGAGATGTTCCAAAGACGAAGAACAAAATAAAAGAGTTGAAGACGAGAAAGTTTGTTAAGAAAGTGGGATGAAAAATTAAGGATGATGAAGATTGATTATGAGAAAAAATGGAATGATTTTTAAATGAGAAAAACAGGCGGAGGAGATTTGCGCAACAAGTAATTCTCTTCCATTCCATTCTCCGCTTTGGAACTATAAACCAAATCATTTTCTTATTCTCACAATACCAACCTCTTCCATTTCCCTATAATCGTTTGCATCTTCCCTCTAACCGATTACCAAAAGGGTCTCTTCAATTTCCCTTTTATTCTGAGAAATCCTGTGAGTTCAAGTCCATTTTCATCGATGTGATGTAGATTAGTGGAATTCTGGGGTGGAACCAAATGCACCCATATAATCGGCTGCCGAGCAGTGGCCACTCAACTCCGTCACCGCCGCAGTCGCCTCTTCGGTCCCCGCGGCTGCGGCATTCACGGTCTAAGGGCGGCCGCTTCACTCAAGCTCAGCAACCCGGTCGGACCTTTCCCCAGCGACTCGCCTGGTTAATCCTCTCCGTTTTGCTTCGTCGCCAAGGGATCTTCCTTTTCGCCCCTCTAATTTACATCTCCAGTATGCTTCTTTATATGGGCACTGTCTCTCACGATGTCGTTCCAGTCATCAAACATCGCCCTGCTGCTGGCTCTGTTTATCGAAGTCCCCAACTCTTCGCCAAGCTGCGCTCCGACATGGATGCTGATAACTCTTCCACTGATGCGGTTCGTTTTTGTTTCCAATTCCTATTGGTTGATGGGTTTCTTGATGTGGGGTTGATTTGTTTTTGCATAGTCCCTAGGGTGTCCTGTTTTCTTGTTGCTTTTCTCCTTTAC